CAGGGTGTCACTGGGGTCAGTACAGGGTGTCACTGGGGTCAGTGCAGGGTGTCACTGGGGTCAGTACAGGGTGTCACTGGGGTCAGTGCAGGGTGTCACTGGGGTCAGTGCAGGGTGTCACTGGGGTCAGTGCAGGGTGTCACTGGGCACAATACAGGGTGTCACTGGGGTCAGTGCAGGGTGTCACTGGGGTCAGTACAGGGTGTCACTGGGGTTAGTGCAGGGTGTCACTGGGGTCAGTACAGGGTGTCACTGGGCACAATACAGGGTGTCACTGGGGTCAGTGCAGGGTGTCAGTGGGGTCAGCGCAGGGTGTCAGTGGGTTCAGCTCAGGATATTACTGTGGTCAGCACAGGGTGTCAGTGGGCCCAATACATGATATTACTGGGGTCAGCGCAGGGTGTCGCTGGGGTCACTATAGCTTCCCCCTATGTCTAGGAGCCTCCCACCCGCCTTCCAGCACTTACCTGGGTCCCTCAGCCCTGGCTCGGCTCTGCTCACGATTTCCCCATAGCAAAGTATTATTTAGTGTTTTCCTATGGGGATTCCAGTGACGCCGGGAGTTTTAATGCATAGCGTTACCTTTGCCTGGTAGGGGACACATTTCTTGCACTCCCTGGTGGTCCGGTGGGATAAGCCCAGGTGGTCAGAGTGAATTCTGCTGGAGTTCACTCTCACGAGATTTGGAGCATTGCCGTGGTAAATGTGGCAACGCTCCGAGCTCGCAAGAGGAGAACCCGACGGAGTTGCAGGTTAGAGCTCCCCCGGGTCCTCTCTTTCTCCATCCCTTTCTGATCTCCCCTCCGTTCCTGCAGAGCCGTCAGGGGAGAGGGAGGCACATTTCCCAACAATTAATTGCCGGTCCGCAAAAGCTTTTTTCCAGACGGTATAGTCGGGTAAAAGCTTTTGCGGACCGGCAATAAATTCTTGCAGACCGGCATTGGTCCGGGGGTTGAGGACCCCTGGTTTAGACGACCAAAAGTCGTCTTTAAGCCTGGAAGTCCCTCTAGTGGCTGTCTGATAGACGGCCACTAGAGGAGGAGTTAACCCTAGCAAGTAATTATTGCAGTTTATAAAAGCTGCAATAATTACATGCAAGGGTGATGGGACATTGTACCCAGACCCACATAAACACACACCTGTACAGTGATGCATACACTCATACTTAATGACGCAGGCACACGCGCACACACACACTGACCCAGGAAGGCACATACTCACTGACCCAGGCAGAGAGACACACACACACATTTTTACTGACCCATGCTGAGAGACACACACACACTCAAACTCACTGACCCAGGCAGAGAGACACACACACTCACTGACCCAGGCAGGCACACACACACTCACTGACCCAGGCAGGCGCACACACACAAACTCACTGACCCAGGCGCACACACACAGGGCCGGATTAACATAGGGGCTGATGGAGCTGCAGCTCCAGGCCCAGGCCCATGGAATAGGCCCATTGATTTATAAAAAATAAAAAAATAAAAAATTTTTTTTTTTACATTTTTTTTTTCACACACTACTCTTAGGGATTCCACCTGGCTTTTATTTTATTGGCACAGTATTTGAGGCTGCCTGGCTGGTGCCAATATTACAGTGATACTGGCAATACAAATGCTGGCATTTTTCTCAGTATAAACAAGAGATTACTGTGCAATACCAGCACTGGCCAGTAGGGGTCACTGTGTGTGGAGACAGGCAGGGATAGGAAGTTCCAGCATATCCCTCTCTGCCTATCTATACTCTGATGATCTGCAGGGGTGCAGCTACAGAGAGTCCAGACAGCAACTCCCACCCTGCAGAGACAGCCTACAGCTCAGGGAAGTAAGGGATGGGGGGAAAGGCTGCAAGGAGACATGGGGACACTGAGACACTAAGGGACACTGGGAGACATTATGGCAGACACTGAGACACTAAGGGACACTGGGAGACATTATGGCAGACACTGAGACACTAAGGGACACTAGGAGACATTATGGCAGACACTGAGACACTAAGGGACATTGGGAGACATTATGGCAGACACTGAGACACTAAAGGGCACTGGGAGACATTGTGGCAGACACTGGGACACTAAGGGACACTGAGAGACATTATGGCAGACACTGGGACACTGGGAGACATTATGGCAGACACTGAGACACTAAGGGACATTGGGAGACATTATGGCAGACACTGAGACACTAAGGGGTACTGGGAGACATTATGGCAGACACTGGGACACTAAGGGACATTGGGAGACATTATGGCAGACACTGGGACACTAAGGGACACTGGGATACATTATGGCAGACACTGGGACACTAAGGGACATTGGGAGACATTATGGCAGATACTGAGACACTAAGAGACATTGGGAGACATTATGGCAGACACTGAGACACTAAGGGACATTGGGAGACATTATGGCAGACACTGAGACACTAAGGGACATTGGGAGACATTATGGCAGACACTGAGACACTAAGGGACATTGGGAGACATTATGGCAGACACTGAGACACTAAGGGACACTGGGAGACATTATGGCAGACACTGAGACACTAAGGGACATTGGGAGACATTATGGCAGACACTGAGACACTTAGGGACATTGGGAGACATTATGACACAGACACATGGGGACACTAAGGGACATTGGGAGACATTATGACACAGACACATGGGGACACAGTGTCCCCATGTCTCCCAGCCAGTGTCCCTGGTGTCTCAGTGCCCCTAGTCTCCCAGTGACCCCTAGTCTCCTAGTGTCTCACTGTCCCCATGTCTCCTAGTGCCTCCATGTCTCCCAGTGCCTCAAGTGTCTCAATGTGCCCATGTCTCCAAGCTAGTGTGTCTCAGTGCCTCAAGTGTCTCAGTGCCCCTAGTCTCCCAGTGACCCCTAGTCTCCTAGTGTCTCACTGTCCCCATGTCTCCTAGTGCCTCCATGTCTCCCAGTGCCTCAAGTGTCTCAATGTGCCCATGTCTCCAAGCTAGTGTCCCTAGGAGACTAGGGGCACTGTGGCCCTGGTGTCTCAGTGTCCCCATGTCTCCCAGTGCCCACATGTCTCAATGTCCCCATGTCCCCCAGCCAGTGTCTCTAGTGTCTGTGTCCCCATGTCTTCAAGTGTCCCCTGTTTTCCCAGTGTCCCCATGTGTCCCAGCCAGTGTCCCCTAGTTTCCCAGTGTCACTTGTGTCTCTGTGTCCCTAGGTCTCCCCGTGTCCCCAGGTCTCCCCGTCTTCCTAGTGTCCTAATGCCATATACATGGGGACATAGACACATGGGAATACTGGAGGACACAGGGAGACATGGGGCATTGAGACACTGTGATACATAGGGACACTGTGATATATAGGGTCACTGGGAGACCTGGGGACACGACACTAGGGCACACTGGGAGACATGGGGCACTGAGACACTGATACATAGGAACACTGAGACCTGGAGTAATCAACACATAGGAGGAATCCATCTATACAGCATAATCAAACTAAGTAGTTTTTTGGTGATTTTACAGCATTTTCTCTTATGTCACTCCTTGTGATTTACATCATGTGATGTCACCCATACATATTTAATTATGCAAATTAGCAATGCCGGTATGTTTTTCCAAGAAAGGTGGCAACCCTAACTACTTTTCACATACTCTTACTTAAGTATGGAAACTGAAGAGGGATGTATGGGAACAAAACTTGTGTGGACTGGCTGACAATGAATATAGTTAAAGGGACACTAGAGTCGCCAGAACAACTACAGCTTATTGAATTTGTTCTGGTGAGTAGAATCATTACCGTCAGGCTTTTTGCTGTAAGCACGGTCTTTTCAGAGAAAATGCAGTGTTTACATTACATCCTAGGGATAACTTCACTGGCCACTCCTCAGATGGCTGTTAGAGATCCTTCCTGGGTCATGGCTGCCTAAAATGCATCCAAACATTCAGTGTCTCCTCCCTCTGCATGCAGACACTGAACTTTCCTCATAGAGATTCATTGATTCAATGTATCTCTATGAGGAGATGCTGATTGGCCAGGGCTGTGTTTGAATCATGCTGGCTCTGCCCCATATCTGCCATTTTGTCAATCTCAGCCAATCCTATGGAGAAGCACTGTGATTGGATCAGGCCACCACTTCTAATGATGTCAGCAGACTGCTTGTTTTTCTGAGTCTAACAGCATGCAGAGTTACAGCTTCAGGCTTGAATACAGTAAGACTTTTACTATATTTATGGAGGCACGAGGGGGCCAGGGGGGTTAGATGGTGGTGTTAACACTATAGGGTCAGGAATTCATGTTTGTGTTCCTGACCCTATAGTGATCCTTTAAGGTAATGCTGACTTTGGTCTCTCTAACACTGTGGCATGTTCCCTTTCTTCTACACTCACTACATATAGCTTTTCTCTGTCCCAGACCATATACCAGGGTCTTCTGCCTGCTAGTAAGAAGGTAAGGAGACAAGTGGACCAGCGAGTGCTAGGGGACAGTCCTTGGAAAGCGTTGAGTGAGCGCATCATTAGATGCATTTATGCCAAGCTCAGGGTGTTGTCTGCATAGTATGCCCTTAGTTGGCCAGCTGCATGATTGGCAGGCAGCCTGACATGCATTCATGCCAGGCTGGCCTTCTAATTCTTTGAGCAGACATGTCCTCTTTTTGGGCATGTTCGCCCCTTTTGGCAGGTAACGTGATTACGTGATTTGTGTCAGTGGCACACCCTTTTACCATGCCCTTCCTGCTCGACTGGACACTGCTGTTAGGGGTTATGGGTTTACTTGAAAGATGAAAACATAAATTAGAGAGAGATTAGCCTAGGGTATGTGTTTTCTTATAGCTGCTGTTTTCTTTCTCTCCAGCACCATCTCCATCAGATACATGACGCTTGGGAGTGTTTTTGGTTGATATGATTCTTTAATTAGGCCCGTCATAATTGTCAGCACCAGGCCCACTGGGCTGTTAATCTGGCCCTGTGTCCCAGCCATAAGGTGCTGCAACTAGAGGGCGCCATAAAGCATCTCTCTGCTTCATATGAACTGACTACAAGCAATAAATATAAAACTATTCTGCAAAACATTAACACTGAGAATCATTAGAGCAACTTAATGTCCAACTTCTTAACGTGGAAAGAGAAAGCTTTATCCTGCTAGCCAAAGCAAAGGCCGAAGCAAAATTAACGCAGCCACAGGACACTGTATCTCACAGATCCGTATCCACCGGACATTCTAAAAGTTCCTCTAGATCCCGAAGTTCAAGGCACTCAACGCTTAGTGAACAGCCTATAAATGCCCGTGCCGAAGCAGAGGCTAGCAAAGTACTGGCTGCATATGCTAAAAAGAGAGCAGACATGGAGTCTGAAGCAGCACGTCAAAGGGCAGCAATGGAAGCTTTAAAGGAACAGAGCAACTACGAGGAAGATGCAGCGAAACTAAAGAACAAGCTATCGGTGCAGATGAAAATGCTAGTGAAAGGGTCAGCATCAAGGCAGATAGGGAAGATCCTTTCGAACGCACTAAGAACTATGTTCTAAACCACAGCAGTGAACACTCAATTCTTCACAACAATGCTAGGACTTCACCACACCACCAGGCAAAAGCTGTTCCAGCAACTTCCTACATGCAAAACCACCCCAGTGCATCGCCCAACTGTCAGGTTGATTCTGCACATGTCACAGAATGGCACACCAATCAGCAAGCAAGTCACCAACCTCCTGCTAATAGTACCGTTCCAGACTTTAACCCAACAACTCAGCTGAACACCCTTTCTTCACCATATCTTCCCACATCTTTTTACAACAATACCATAAACAACGCAACCCGCAACATTCAACCAGCCACCTCATATGAAAGGTCAGAGGCAACTGGCACAGCAGAGTTCGTAAAGTATATACTTCGACGTGAGCTCACCAAGTCAGGCTTAGTAAGCTTCGATGACCATCCTGAAAATTACAGAAGCTGGAAAGCTGCCTTCAAAACTACTATAGGTGATCTTGGTATTACTGCTGCTGAGGAGCTGGATCTGCTGATCAGGTGGCTTGGCCCACAATCTACAGAACGTGTCAAGAGCCTCAGGTCAGTCTACATCGACAATCCAACTGCAGGTCTCTCCGCTGCATGGAAGCATCTAGAACAGAGTTATGGTAGTCCTGAAGCCATAGAGAATGCATTGCTCAAACGACTGGAAAATTTCCCAACAATAGCCGGTAAGGACGATAAAGAGTTCCAGAGACTCAGTGACCTTCCTCTCGAAGTCCAGCTTGCAAAAACCGACCCTAAACTACCTGGCCTTAGTTACCTGGACACTGCTCATTTACAAGCTTCCGTATGGCCTGCGAGAAAAGTGGATCCAAATCGGGTCAAAATACAAACAGGAAAACAAGGTTTCATTTCCCCCTTTCTCCTACTTCTGCAAATTTGTCAGGAACATTGCTGACACCAAGAACGATCCTAGTTTTGATTTGGCGAGTTCAGTACTTCCTCACTGAAAGGTGACAACCTACATATCAGCTGCAGGAACCGTAGAGGTCCCGTGTCTGTTAAGAAGACAGACATTATTCCCGCTCCTTCCTCAGCTCCCGCCTCAAACAAGATCGAAAACCCAAACCAATTATGTCCTATCCACAAGAAGCCACATCCCCTCAAAAAATGTATCGGCTTTAGGAAGAAGCCCCTACAAGAACGGAAGGAACTCCTAAAGACCTTTGGGGTATATTATAGATGCTGTGCTTCCACCGATCACTTTGCCAAGGAATGTAAAATCTCTATCAAGTGCATTGAGTGCGGTTCCGAGGACCACGTGCAAGCTCTCCATCCACTTGAGTCCAATCCTTCACTACCTGCAAACCTTTCTCCCAGGCCAAATCATGACAGGAAGAGTACAGATCAGGTGCCTAATTCCACCGTGATATTTTCCTCATGCACTGAAGTCTGTGGGGAAGACCACTGTGACTAATCTTGTGCTAAAATATGCCTAGTGAATGTCCACCACAAGGATCAACCAGAAAAGACTTTAAAGGTGTATGCTATCTTAGATGATCAAAGCAATCGATCACTTGCCTGATTCGAACTGTTTGATCTATTTGGCATAAAAGGAGAGGTTCACCCTTACACCTTAGGCACTTGTAGCGGCACTACAGAGGCCTTTGGAAGAAGGGCACATGGACTTATTGTGTCCTCCCTATGACATAACTTACAATTACCCTTACCTACACTTATAGAGTGCAACCAGATACCAGCCAACAAAGAAGAAATGCCTACACCAGAAGTTGCCTTCTACCACCCTCACCTAAAGTCAATAGCAAGTCAATAGCAAGTGAAATCCCACCACTTGGGAAGAGATATTCTAAGGGTCCACAAGGTGCACAGGCAGGTCAGCGGACCCCCAGATGCTCCATTTGCCCAGTACCTGGACTTAGGCTGGGTCATCATAGGTAATGTCTGTATAGGCAAAATGAAAGGGCCTACTAACATTTCTTCATTCAAGACAAATGTATTGCCAAATGGTCGTAATACTCACTTTGAGCCATGCCCACATCACTACTGGGTAAAGGAGAAGGTAACTAGCTGCAAGTTGCAACACGGCAACACAAACCCACACATACGATGACAGTTTTGGCTCTACAGTTTTCAATGCAAGCAGCGAAGACAACATGTTAGCTCCTTCAGTAGAAGGCAAAGAATTCCTTAAAGTAATGAATAACGAGTTCTTTCAGGAACATTCCAATAATTGGGTGGCACCCCTACCCTTTCGCCTCCCGAGAGAGGAGCTACCGAACAATCTACATCAAGCCATTAAAAGGTTCTCTCTGCCAAAGCAATGGCATTATATTCCCACTGACCTTAATCCTGCTGATTATGGGACAACAGCTATATCCCCAGCAGCTCTCCATGGCTGCTTGTGGCTGTCGCCTCCAAGATTTCTTCATGAAAACTCCTTCTAAATTTCCACCGACGTTACCTACGAACTGGTACATCCTGATGATGATAAAGAAATCAGGTCTAGGAACACCACACTGCATACCTCTATGAGTCCAGAACCAAAACTCAAGTCACATCGTTTTGAACGTTTCTCAACCTGGTCATCAGCTGTTAGGGCTGTTGCTTATTTGATTCACGTTGCCCATTGTTTTAAAAGGAGCTCAACATCAGAGTGTCATGGTTGACATATCTGTACCAACCATCCTACCGCAACGGAAATTGAGCATGCCGAAAAGGTTATCATTCGCTGTGTACAACAAGAAATGTACATGGAAGAATTCCACAGATTCAAAGGTGGAATACCTTTATCAAAGGATAGTTCACTATTTAATCTAAACCCTGTGGTCGATGACAATCAGTTGCTGCGAGTTGGAGGTCGAATAGAGAAATCTGACCTGTGCAGCAAGGAACAAAACCCTATCATCATACCAGGTCAGCACCACATCGCCACTCTTCTAATCCGGCACCATCATGAACTAATACAACACCAAGGTAGACAATTTACAGAAGGCGCTATCACGTCAGCCGGCTTGTGGATTGTTGGAATGAAAAGATGTGCTTCTTCCCTGCTTTTCAAATGCGTCAAGTGTCGCAAGTTAAGAGGTAGACACCAACTACAACAAATGGCAAGCCTGCCAGCTGATCGTTTAAGCACAGATCCACCCTTCACCTACGTTGGAGTTGACGTCTTCGGGCTGTGGACCGTGGTAACTCGAAAGACTCGTGGTGGAGCAGCCAATAGCAAAAGGTGGGCTGTGTTGTTTACTTGTCTCAGCATACGAGCTGTACATATTGAAGTGATTGAGTCAATGGATTCTTCTTGTTTCATCAACGCTTTACGAAGATTCTTCTCCATCCGAGGACCTGTCAAGCAGCTAAGATCCGACTGTGGTACCAACTGTGGAGCAAACAATGGATGTACTTGGCTGTTTAATCCACCACATTCTTCACATATGGGAGGATCACGGGAGCGAATGATTGGAATCGCTCGAAGAATTCTCGATTCCATGTTACAGGACCGCAAGTCTTCACTATTGACTCATGAGACTTTGAGTACCTTTCTCTCGGAAGTATCCGCCATCATTAATGCAGAGCCTCTAATACCAGTATCTTCTGATGCTGATTCTCCAGTGATTCTTACCCCAGCCACACTCCTTACTCAGAAGGTTGGGACTACCATGATATCTCCTGCTGAGATCGACCCGAAGGATATCTACAGGCATCAATGGAAACAGGTGCAACACCTAGCCAACGTGTTTTGACACCGCTGGAGAAAGGAGTACCTGCATATCCTTCAAAGCCGCTCCAAATGGCAAACACCCTGTTCTTCTGAAAGATAGAGAAGTCTGTCGCAATGAGTAGCCTATTGGTCTCGTAACAAGCGTAATGCCCAGCGACGATGGAAAGGTTTGGAAGGTTGAGATTAAGATAACCAAAGGAGGTTCCACATGGACTTTCTCACGACCAATTGATACTTCTTCTCCCAAGTGAGTGACTTATGCAAGAGTACCAGGCGGTACGGTGCTATGGCGGGGAGAACGCCACTGTAACGCCACTGTAACTGTTAACTATGCCACTATTGAAGCTCCACGGCTATAAACTGTAGACTACAGGACTTTAGCCATTCGTTATTGGACTTCATGTTTGGTTGTTCATTTACTGCATACCTTCTTTGTTTTGCAGGTATTTTGTATTTATGGTTTACTGTAGCGGAGAGGTAGTATTATCCACAATATCTCCGCTGGTAACAGGAACAGTTTACAATAATCCAGGCAAAATAAGTACAGCATACAATAATCCCGGCGTTAAATAAATCCTTCCTTCCCAAGAACTAGACGACACATAGGCTGGGAGTCAACTGAGCTTTTAATCACAGGTCACAGTATTTATGTGTTTCCCCATGCAAGGGGTTTCCCTACTGACATTACAGGGGTTGTACAGTAGGGGACTACATGGGGAACTTAACAACCCGGACATTTCTCCCATCATGCACTGCTGCACGAGAGGGATACTCCCACTAGAATATCCAGTTAAGTGGATTATCCCTCCATGCAGCAGAACTGGCATTTCACACAAAAATACACAACTTTCACATTATTCATCCTATAATGACCGTTCGGTAGATAGCTGGGGTCTGAGCACACATTTCGTGAAAGTACCGCTCAGATCCCAGCATAAATAACCGAACGCTGCACGAAACACATGTTATTTTACATTCACCTTAAAAGTACCGAATGCATATAGGGGAACAAACTACCGAATGACCGGTACTCCCGAACGGCCTGGAAGTCCAGCGGTATTCGTGCCGTCGAGTAGCCGAGTTTAGTTCCAGGCGCTCGACGACCAAATACCGCTGGGCTAACAAAGGATCCAAGATGGCCGACCGCCACGTGGTCGGTAGACGAACGGCGGCCACCCTGAATCTCAATAATTACAGAAGGATACATTGTTGCAATACTTAATGGGAGCCACAATGTAGTTTGTTCGTTTCACGAACAGTGTTGAAATTCACTGTTCGTGAAACTACTGTATGAATGCTGGTGGCTTTCCTGCCATCAGCATACGAATGCTCTCGTTGGCACAATATACAGGTACAGGTATTCACTTGGTTCTAACAGTCTTAAAGGGATAGCATCCCATTACATAAAAATACATTCTTAAGTGGCTAGTTTTAGGCCTGGGGGGCAAAACCAGTCAAGTGGCCCATTGCACCACCAAATCAATTCACCATCCATGCCCACCTTTTCCTGGTTTTATAACGGATATTGATGAGAATCTCTGAGCCTGTGCTCTGACTTACTAACTGAGCGCCGGAACCACGAAGGAGAGGCTATAATCTGACTGCACCTACTGCTGGTGCGCACCAGTGGACCACCAGCGAATCATTTAAATTGAATATGCTGGTGTCCCCAACTTGTGGGCTGTGTTGGCCGCCGGGCGCCTCTGTTGTCATGGCACCCTGCGTGACCGCACAGCGCTCACACCCCAACGGCTGGCCCTGCTGACACACACTGATGTTACTACTTAGAAATCCCTCAATATTAATCAGAGTAAACACCAATAAACTGTGCAAACAGAGCTGATCCCCCAAATTTATAAAGATTTGCTTAGTGGATTTGTTGTAAGATTAAATCATGCCTCCTCCTCTCTCTCTCTCCCATGCGCTGCTCTGTAGGCTGGGAGGAAGTGAAGGATAATCACATTCTCCCAGTACAGCGGCACCGGTGGCTGCATGGGGAACAGCTGGTTAATGTAATGCTTGCAGGACGGCCAGCTGCCGCAGAACTTCTTTGCTCCGTCTCTGCAAATGGCTCCAGGCACTGCTTGCTGTGAGTGTGAGCCACTGTAAATTAGGGGCAGAGGGCACTTGCACTGCGGTAAAGACAGGTCTGAGCAGGAGCAGAAACATAGAAACATAGAATGTGACGGCAGATAATAACCATTCGGCCCATCTAGTCTGCAATCAGCGCACTCCCCTCCTGTGGGTCACCAGTAGACTGGATGTGTTATTGTAGAGGATCTAATATGTGTGCTTATGGTATGTAGTGTATAGGGTTACCAGTTTGTGCAGGTGATGTAGTGTGTTTGTGTGTAGTGGAAGCAGTGTGTATTTGTGTATTAGGGATGTATTATGTGTTTCTGGTTGTGTGTAAGGGATGCATTGTGTGAATCTGTGTTTGTATGCATAAGGGATGTATGGTATGTGTGCGTATTGAGTGTGTGTATGAGATGCATTGTGTTTCTGTGTGTATGTAAGAAAAGCAGTGTGTGTAAGGGAAGCATGTTGTGTTTCTGTGTGTGTAGGGATGCATTGTGTGTTTCTGTGTATGTATAGGGATGCATTGTGTGTGTGTGTGTGTGTGTGTGCCTAGTGTGAAAGAGCTCCCTGTCTTGCCCCCTGTCTTATAGAGCTGTCCTTTCTGTCCCTTAGAGCTCTCCTCTGCCCCTTAGTGGTCTCTCCTCTCCCCCACCCTCCCCTGGCGGTCTCTTCTCACATTCATCCACCCTCCCTGTGCTCTTCTAATCCCCCCTCCCTTTGTTATTCTCACCCCCCCCCTCCATTTGTTCTTCTCATCTCCTCGCCTCCCCTTCTCCTCACCCCTCCCCTGTGTTCTTCTCAGTCCCCCCCGTTCTCCTCATCTCCCCTTCTCCTCACCCTTGCTCTTCCCCCTCCTCCTTGTGTTTTTCTTACTCTCCCCTCTCTGTGTTCTTCTTACCCCCATCCTCCCTGTGTTCTTCTTACTTCCCCCGTTCTTCTTACCACCCTTGTTCTTCTTACTCCACCCTTGTTCTTCTTACTCCACCCTTGTTCTTCTTACTCCACCCTTGTTTTTCTTACTCCCCCACCTGTTCTTCTTACTCCCCTTTTTTCTTCCTCCCCCCCCCCCTGTAACGGCACCCTCAGGCATAAAATGGGTTAAAAGCCATTTAGGAGATATTCCCCTTCCAGATATACAGGCAGCTACCAAAGACACCAATCCGCCGAACAGGAAACCATATGAATGCCGTAACAGCCGAATAGGAAAAACCATACGAATAGGTTTACACTCCTAGCAATCGAACTGGAACAGCATACAATAAATCCCCCCCAAGAACGAGACAAGGCTCTGTGTTGAGGGTCAAGCAGTGAACAGACAGAGCTGTGGGTTCTTATATACACATTCTTACACATTAGTACCACCGAGTTTTGGAAAACAACCAATAAACACGTACAATACACTCAGACACTCCCACACAAAATCCTCCCCTCTGCCTGTGATACAATTACCATACACAATGGGTAATGTAATTATAACAGCCAGAGAAATACCATTTTTCCACATTATTCATAATTTTAAAAGTATGCATCACATTCACATAAAACTTACATTTTCAGAATCAGCATACTCCAAATACAAACATACATCAAAATTATACAAATCGGTCCAGTGGTTCAAAAGATAGATCGTAGTCCTTTGTGACCAAATGAAGCACGGCTTTTCTGCCCAAAACCAGTTCCACAGAGTCTTCTATCCTGGAGATAATTGGGAAGTAATCCAATCATCTCCAAGGACAGAGGCAAAACTCCATTAAACACATGGCAGCAAAAGACAATAAAATACATAAAAATATATAAATGTGCAGCCATTGCATAAAACAGGTACATTCAACCTATCCCCAGATAGCTTAGATCTGAGCGCACATTATTACTGAATGGCGCTCAGAGCACACACATACAGTTCAATTGCC